GTGGCCCCTGATGGCCAGTGAGTAGCTGCCACTTAGAGCCAGCTGCTCCAGGAGAAGCACCCTGCATGCCCCTCCGTCGCTAACCAGACAAGCGAGGGCTCGTCGTCCCGTCGCCGCCCGGATTGTACTTGGGGTCTCCGGTGACATCACTTCCTCAACCCTCACTCACCCATTTTCCAGTAAGTGTGCCCAGAGCACCAGAGCTAACTGAAACAAGACGTGGGCTTACACGTTAAAGTAGCCTTCAGTGGAGAGGCCAGGGCTGCTTCTGGAAAATGTTAACGCTTTCCTGTTGGATGCCAAGCCCTCTTGGAACTAAGCTTCAAACGAAACCTCATCTGTAAAATGAGGGGGTTGGACGATCCCAGGGAGCCATTCTGACTCTGACAGTTTATGCCTACTATGAAAAGAAAACCCAATAGAGCCCTGGGCGGGGGGGCCGGGGCGACTTCTGGTCGGCGTGGGATTGTCACAAACAAAGTGGTTGTGAATCAGTTTTTATTTTAGGCCTTGCAGCTGATAGATTAATTTCTTTTTTATGGGCCACACTCTGCATAATTCCAAGAAACTCACTCCATCAGAGGCTCCGGTGACATCACCAACCACCAGATAGGAGGCCCGATGTTCAAACCTCAGGCTGAGGGGCTGTTCGAAGACTTGGCTCTGGGTGAAAAGAGGCTGTTTTGGTTGCCACGGAGACCACGTTTCTCCCCCTCCATCCACCTTCCGGAAGTCAGATCATCAGAGGGTTTCCCACCTACCCATCCCCAGACTTGAATTTAATGGGTCCAATCTTGGGTCAGGCAAATCCATCATCCTTGAAGAGATCTTGAAGACAGACGGACAAAAGCTCTGTCTTCTGGACAGCTGGGCAAATCGAATTTGGCCATATAATTTTGGCTTGGAGGTTTATTGCTTATTTGTTTGTTTGTTTAATTATTTAATGATTTTTCATGGAATTTCTCCATTTGGGTACAGTCTTCCTGAGACCTCCTAAGCTATTTATTTGGAAAAGAAAAAGTCTTTTTTTTTTTTTTTTTTGTAAAGACAGAGAAGAGAGCGGTTTATAGTCATTTCAGCTGGAAGGCCAAAACCGCCGAATACAGAAATGTGTTTCGAGGACACCAGCCAGGAATGAGATGAACCACAACCAGGACCAGAGGGCAGTTTCTAAATCGACAAAGCAAGGAGCTTTCTCTGTACTCCGGTGCTAAATTCTCTACAATCCTGGGATCTCCACCCTGAAAGAGACCTCACGAGCCACCTAGCACAACCCCCCGATCTATGGCAGGCAATCTGCTTTCCTTCATCCTTGGCTGATGGCATCCATTCTCCACCTTACTGGGCAGTCAATTCTGTGTTCTTCTACTTCGGATGAGAAAAATCTTCTGAAGTTCTTACATGGAGCCGAAAACGGCCTCCCTGTAACCAACTTTACATCCCAGGGGCAGGTCTGGTTTCAGGAGGCCCACTGCAGGGGAAAAACTACAAACTCTCATCCAAGTTGGCTTGGACAATACCCTTAGTAACAACCCTTCAAGTATTCTCAGCAGCTATGATGTTTCCCTCCCTTCTGGCTTGTTCCTCCAGTTCTTTTAATGACTCTTCACTTCATGGTCATTTCCAGACACTTCACCATCCTGGCCACTTGCCTCTGGATGCTTTCCAAGTTGTCAGCATCCCCTCTGCACTGGGGCTGGGGCCTGGATGTGGTGCTTCCTGATTCTGTGTTGACGGCCGATGGATGTAGGGACAAGCCCAGGCTTGAAGTTACAAGGCCACATGCAGACATCACACCAGAAACTGGCCACGGGACACATCCTGTCCTGTCATCAGGATAATCCTCGATCGGCCAGCAACACGATGGCACGTTGTCTACCATGAGAACTACGTGCTGCGTAGCCTTGAATGTGTCTCTGGAGGATCAAAGTATGGTTGGAAGTGACTGGCTTTTTCATTCAGTGAATACTTAGCGTTTATCTGCTAAGAGCTTATATTACCGGTCATGGAAATGAGGCTTTGGAGCTGTGACAATAAATGGCACAGTCTCTACCCTCAAGGAGATTAAATAATCTACAAAAGCCTAATTGGCCCAGATGGGCCAGCTCTAAGCAACTTCGGAAGAACACTGTTTGTGACGAAAAACATATATGTATAGTCATAGATGATTGGACATGGAAGGAGCCTCAGGAAGCTTGGATTCATATCCTCTGTTTGGAGATGTACCAACTGAGCCTCAGAACCTGTTCATCCACCTCGCCATCCATCCACCCATTCACTCAACAGAGGTATTTACTGAACGGCCACCATATGCAAGGTCACATGTTTGCACGGAGTCCAGTGCAAATGGCAACAGCAGAAAAGAGGTAGTAATTGACATCGCTGGTGCATGGGATACGAGCTCCAGCTGAATGATCTGAGAAAATCCACCTGGTTGGATCGGAGGCAGGATCAGAAAGCAGATCTTCTGACACCTGGCACTGGGCTTTTCCCAACGCACCGTGATACCGCTCGTTAATGACTAGATGGTGCATGACAGAGCATATGCTCTATTTGGGGCAACTCTGTCCTGATGGAATCCTGTGTGGACATCGCAGGCAGTATTTCTGTAACTGGTGAATGTGCCGGCTGTACAGAAATAATGTTTCACCTCTGCACAGCACGATGCAGAAGCCAGAGGCATTCCTGTCTGTCTTCCAGGAGCACAGACAATCCGTCCTTAGCTCTTGCCAAAGGTCTACTAAAATTTTCTCCCAGGAGCCACCAAAGAGAAAATCCAACTTGCTTTCCTGCTCTTTGAGCTCCACGAGATTGGATGTTATTGATTCTCTTAAGACGTTCTCCTTCCTTGGTTCCTGGGGTGCATCTCTCTCCGCCACCCCCTTGCCGACTATTGCCGATTGGTCCCTCAACCATGAACATCTTCAGGAATATCACCTTACACACTGCGGCTGCTCAATAAATAACTTGTTGGGCGTGTCTGGGGGGCTCAGGTGGTTAAGCTCAGGTCTTGATCAGGTCAGCTGAGGACTTCAGCTCAGGTCATGATCTCACGGTTCGTGGGTTCGGGCCCTGTATCGGGCTCTGCACTGACAGCCTGGAGTCTGCTTTGGATTCTGTGTCTCCCTCTCTGACTCTCTGCCCCTCCCCTGCTTGTGTGCGCACGTGCGCACTCTCTCTCTCTCTCTCAAAAATAAATACATAAGCATTTAAAAATAATAAATAAATAAATAAATAAATAAATAAATAAATAGTTGAGTGGATGAGTGGATGGGTGGCTAGGTGGATGAAAGACAAGTCCCGCAGCTCAGTTTGCCCATCTGTAAACCAGAGGGTATGAATTCCAGCTTCCTTCATGGTCTTCTCACCTCAGTGTCTCCCCTTGAGGACCCACCCATTCACAGAACCTCTGCTGTCACCTCTATGTCCGAAATTTCCAAATCGACAAGGGCCCCTTATTCCACTTGGCTCTGCTTCCCTTGCTCCAAACTCAGTAGGTCTCGAATCATGTCACCCTTTCCAGACCCTACTCTCCTCCACGCCAAACCTGCGTGTCCTTTCCACAACCCCAACCAGCATCCATTCTCTAAGTCCATGCGGCTCAAAACACTGAGATGAAGTTTTGCTTTCCCCTCTCATTGTAGATCTTAGACATCTACAGAACATCATTAGGGATTCCTTCCTCAGACTTGTTTAATTTTATCCATCCATCTATCCATGAATCCATCCTTCATCCTTCAAGAACACTCCAGCCTACTCTGGGATGACTAGGTCAAGTTCTGGGGAAGCCAGAGCCCTGTTCCCCAAGCCCCGGGGTGATGTCACATCTCGCTACGACTGCTGGCATACTCATCCACCAGGTGTCTAGGCTCGGCCCAACCTGGGTGATCCTGGCCTCTCAAAGGCCCTCACCTTCCTTTCACCCTTGAGTACAAGATCAAGCCCAAGAGCATGTGCCAGGCCACCCTACCCACAGAGGTGATTTGCTCGACAGCAAACGGCCCTCTTGCTCCTCTGTGAGGGAGGCCTCTCTCTCCTGAGATTGGGCCATAACCTGAAATCAGACCTTACTATAGGATAGGCAGTTGGGAGCAAAGGGTTCCCCGGGGCTGAGCAGGGCCCCTTCCAATGCAGCCCAGCCCCAATGCCTTCCCTCCTCTGCTTCCTCTCTCCACTACCCACCTCTGCTCCAAATGCCAGCATTGAGCCCTCCTCTATGGCTCTTTTCCAAGAGGAGAAGGGATGAGGAGGGCTGTATATTAGCCAAACATCCTTAACCTCCCCAGGAGCATGGATGCAAATGGCCAGGGGAAAACCCCTTTCAAGCCGTGTTGGGGCACATGGAGCTGCCATGTGCTCCCAGCTGCTCGTGACCCTCCCCGCGCTCACGTAAAGATTTTCCATCTGATCCCAGTTACGTGTGCATCCAGATTCCAAGGCTTACAGAAAATCGGAGCTGAGAGGGCCCTCGGACACCAACCGATGTAATCCTCTGCTGTGCAGATGAGAAAACCACAGCTTGGTGAATTCCCGAGGTCACTTAGTGAGGCAGGGACAGGACTGGAACTAGAAGGCAGAGGGCCGGCCCAGTGGGCAGGATGGTGACAATGAGCTACCCGTGGTAGCTGGGGGCTCTAGTTTCTGCCCCTCAAATTTGGGGTCACACAGGTTTGGCTAGTGGAGCCAGGCAGACAGTGTGAATACAGAATAGTAGAGAACCGGGTGGGGGCCCTGAGCAGAGGTGGGGAGCGTGTCCAGTGACAGGCAGCCCATGCTTGACCTGAGAGCCTGGCACAACGGGAGAGGCCAGGAACAGCCCAGCAAGGACTTGAACTTCATGTTCCCTACCAAGGGCCCGGTCATCTGGGGAGCCAGCCAATTTGGAGGAAGGACCCCCTTCCTGGCCTCTCTGCCTACTGGCAGGATGCCTGGCCAGGACGCAGCCCCTACCACCCAATGTTCCCACCACTGCCGGAGACACAGGCACCCTGCCCGCTCACCTCACCCCTCGTGTCCAGACATGCTCAAGATGCGGGCTCTCTCTGCCAAGGGCCCTCAGGTCCAGAAAATCTAGGTCCGTGTTCAGGGACTGAGGCTCCCAGTGTACTAAAAAACAGAGAAAGGCCAAAACAGGGTTACAAAAATCGAGGTGTGTTCAAAACATTTCCTGTGAACAAATTAATACTCTACACACACGCACACTCCCCAAATATAATGCAACATGGCTGTGCTATTCACAAAATCATCACAGAAGTGAGTTATATGCAAATTCAGAACATGCATTTGAAGCTGTATGGTGAAGGTCTCCTTCAGCCAATCTCTGGGGCTGGGTGTGAAACCTCCCTCCAAGGTAACATCTCAGGTAGAAATGTGAAGTCCTTCCAGAATGTGGGACAGGGACCAAACAGCTCTCTGGAGTCCCAGCGCCGCCCCCTCGGTCGGCTCCGCCTCTGAGAAGCACAGCCCTGGGCGGGGGGGGGGGGGGGGGGGTTCAACCCCCAGGCGAAGAGGGGTGCCTCCCAGCCCCCCCACACACACCCAGCCCCGAGCCCCTACCTCAGACAGAGAGAGGGAAAGCAGGCAGCCCCCAGGGACAACGCAGGAGTGCAGGGCTGCCGTGGGCAGTCAGCCCTGACTGAATGGGGCCTTTTTTCTGTCACACCACCCAGGAGGGGGACGTAATCCCTCCCCAGCCACACAGAGCCTTCTCAATCCTGGTGGCACAGTGCACCGTTCACACAGCTCAGGAAACAAAATAAATATATTCTCCCTCAAAGACCCCACAATGGGGCTTTTTCATGGCAGAGAACCAAGAACAGCCCCCTCCCCTCCACATGGCTGAGGGGCTGTCCTCCTGAGCCCTTGCCCAACCCTTCCCGAGACTCAGGGGCCACCTGCCCTGGTCACGGCCCGGTATGGACAGTGGCCCTGTGGGTAGGTGTCGAGCAGAGCCCGTAAGTGTCTGCAGAAAGGACGGAGGCAAGAGAGGAACCTAACATTTACCGGTTTCCTACTGTGTGTCACAGAGACGCAGGGAGGACACTCTTTCTTGATGGATTAAAGCACCAGCAGATTACGTTCCTCAGGACTGAAGACGTGGGCACTTACTTAGGGCTACTCTTGAGACTCTCGGTGGGCCATGCAAAGCTCCAGCCATGGTGAAGGGGGGGCCTTTATCACACCAACCCCAGAACTGTCCTGTGTCCCCATGTCTTTTAAAAAAAATTTTTTTTCAACGTTTTTTTATTTATTTTTGGGACAGAGAGAGACAGAGCATGAACGGGGGAGGAGCAGAGAGAGAGGGAGACACAGAATCGGAAACAGGCTCCAGGCTCTGAGCCATCAGCCCAGAGCCCGACGCGGGGCTCGAACTCACGGACCGCGAGATCGCGACCTGGCTGAAGTCGGACGCTTAACCGACTGCGCCACCCAGGCGCCCCTATGTCCCCATGTCTTTAGGGAGGCTTACTTTCAGGGGGATGTCAACCAGCCCTGGGAAGACTTCCCCTGTAATCTGCCCTATTCCCTGGCCACAGCCAAACCAAATCAACACGCCTACCTCCGCTCTCTGACACACCCACCCGCCAAGCCCCTCTTTCTGGAACTCCCTCTTTTCTTTCTACTTTCCTTTCTCTAAGATCATGGGAAGCCATGATAATAAACAGATAATACCCAGCAAGTGTTTACTCTGGCCCAAACACCTCTGAACTCAAGCATCACCTCTTACAGGAAGCCTTCCCTGACTTCACCTAGCTTTTCAACCATCTGTCCAAGGGCCTCTCCCCATCTGGGTGGGAGGGCCTAGAGGTTACGGCCTTGTCCCACCCCCCACCTCTGAGTGCCCAGCGCCTTTCCTAGAGATGACCCTAGGGCTTGGGTGAACGCTTCCACCAAGTACAGGTGCCTGCAGAACACCTTGAACTGGTGCAAGTTCTGACTCAGTGTCATCGTGACTGTCTAGGAGTCCGCATCCCAGCTGTGAGGCCTGGGCATGTCATTTAACCATCTAAGCTTTATTTTTTGCTTTGTTTTTGGCTTTCGTTAGCTTTTATTTTTTTAATTATATTAATTTTTTTTTTTGAGAGTGAGCAAGAGGGAGAGGGGTGGAGGGAGAGGGAGAGAGAATCTGAAGCAAGATCCATGCCCGGCACCGAGCCTGACTCAGGGCTCCATCCACGACCCTGTGATCAAGGCCCGAGCTGAAATCAAGAGTTGGATGCTCAACCGACTGAGCCACCCAGGCACCCCTGTTTTTTGTTAGCTTTTAAGTTCAATGGCAACAAGCTGGGTTAATCACACCCTTTAGTTGAAGGTATATTATCGTCATCAGTTAATGCAAAGTGCTCGATCTATCGACATGAAACAAATTGCACATAAAGTGTGCAATTTGATGAGCTTTCGCAGGTGTACACATCTGAGAAACCATCCCCTTAATCAAGATAATGCACAAATCTGTCACCTCCCCAAAATTTCCTTGAGCCCTTTGGTAGTCCCTGCCTACCACCTCTCCCCTCTCCCTACCCTCTGCTTTCTGGATGCAACCACTCATCTGCTTTCTGTCATTATAGACTAGTTTACATTTTCTAGGAGTTTATACCAGTGCATTGTTGTGAATATCGGTGTTTTTCCCCTCTTTAATTGTAGAGTCGTATTCCATTGTCTGGTTAGAGCATAATCTGTTCATCCATTTATCTATTGATGGATATTTGGGTTGTTTCCAGTTTGGAGCTATTACAAACAAACCTCCAGGAACGTGCATATTGAAATCTTGGTGTAGACATATGCTTTTATTTCTTGAAGTAGGATGGTTGGGTCGTGTTTTATCTTTCTCCTTCGTTCCCAATCTTTACTCTCACACTCCTTTAAGCATCCACTCGGATGTTTACCATATGCCCTTAAGTATGCACATATTCTCATAAAATATGCAGAGTTATTGTGTGTGTTTGTGTGGGGGGTGTTAACTTACATGCACAGTACTATGCTGGAAATCTAGTTCTATTTCTTGTTTCAGTTGATTCTATTTTTTGAGATCTACGTATGCACATTCTGCAGTCAGAAGTTCATTGCTTCTAACTGCTGTTCAGCATCCCACACCTGCTGTGTGTCCCATCACCTGACAGAGCCCTCCCTTTGATGAACACCATGGTTGAGTTCAGAGCAGCATTCCCATAAATAATGCCACAGTGACCATGTTGTCCTTCTGACCCCCTTGCCAACCTGCACAAACACGAAGAGTGGCTCTCTGAGTCCCAAGGTGTGCAACTTACATGCTATCACGAAGGGCGGCCGACTTGACTGCTCCCCCTTTGCCTGAGCCAGCTAATTACATGCCCTCCAGTCACGCGCCAACCCCCAGCCACCCCACATCCTGGCTGGCACTTGGTACTGTCCACGTTGCTAATCTTTGTCATTCTAATGGGTGTCGCCTGAGAGGGTGTTTTGGTATATATTTCTCTAACTACTAATGAGATTGGGCGTCTTTTCAAATATTTGCTAGCGCTTAGGACTTCTCTTTCTGTGAATGACCAATTTACACTCTTTGGCCATAAAACATTTGTACTTCCTAACTTTCCCTTGTTGATTGGCAGGAGCTCTCTGTTTTGTTTGAATTGAGATATAACTTACATAAATTGAAGCGACAGATCTTCAGTGTGGGGCTTGCTCTGTTTTACACATGCTTACACTAGTGTAACCCCTGCTCAGATCAAGATTTAGAGCATTTCTAGCCCCCACAAAGGCTCTCTGTGTTCCCACAGTAACTTCTTTTTTTATTAAAAAATTTTTTTCAATGATTATTATTTTTGAGAGAGAGAGAGAGAGACCAAGCAGGGAAGGGGCAGAGAGAGAGGGAGGCACAGAATACAAAGTAGGCTCCAGGCTCTGAGCTGTCAGCACAGAGCCCGATTTGGGGTTCGAACTCACAGACCACGAGATCATGACCCGAGCCATAGGTGGCCGCCCAACCAACTGAGCCACCCAGGCGCCCCTGTCCGTAACTTCTTAACGTAACCACTATTCTGATCTCTGTCCCTTTAGATCAGCTTTCCTGTCCTAAAACTTCATATGGATGGGGTCATACAGTATGTTCCCCTTTGTGTCCGGCTTTTTTCACTCCATATTATCTGTGAGGTCCATCTAGGCTGTGTTTGCAACCCTAGGGCATTCTTTTTCGTTGATGCACAATATTCTACTATGTGCCTACACCCCCATTTATGTATTTCTTCGTTGATGAACATTTGGGTTGTCTGAGTTTGGGGCTGGGATACATGGATAAAGCTTCTATGACCATGAACATGACTGAACATGTCTTTCGGTGGATGGAAGCCCTCAGTGCAGTTGGGAGTGGAGCTGTTGCATCATGGGGATTTTGCAGGCTTAGCTCTAACGGGCACTGGCCAAACATTTTTCTAAAGCATTGTACCAGCAGCGTATGAGAATTCCAGTTGCTCGTCTCTGCCAATACTTGAGATTTTCAGTTTTTGAAATTGTAGCCGTGCTGGTAGGTTTTGTAAGCGATCTGTGCATTCTAAGAGATTTACCTCTTTAGGGTTTTATATAAATGCAAATGTAAATTTCACTCATCTATTCTCTTTGTCTACCCTGTATGGTATCTGTCTGCTCCTGATCTTTTTTTTTTTTTTTTTAAGAAAAAAAATTTTTTTAACGTTTATTTATTTTTGAGACAGAGAGAGACAGAGCATGAACGGGGTAGGGTCAGAGAGAGGGAGACACAGAACCTGAAACAGGCTCCAGGCTCTGAGCTGTCAGCACAGAGCCCGACGCGGGGCTCAAACTCACAGACCGCGAGATCATGACCTGAGCGGAAGTTGGCCACCCAACCGACTGAGCCACTCAGGCACCCCTGTCTCCTCCTGATCTTAACAGACCTGGCAAACAATGGGTGCTGAATTCATGCTACTATGCATTTCTGTCTCCACCACGAGAGGGGTGCTCTTCTATGGCAAGGACTGTATTTTAATTTGTGTTAGGGCCTGGCCCAGAGCCAGCAAGGAGTTTTTCAATAAAGTTTGTTGACTGAATAAAGACCGGAGCCTCCCAGGATCTGAGCGCGGGAATGAGGGGCTGTGGCAACGAAGTGGGATGGG